GATTGTTAACTGATTTTTTATTACTCGAGAATAAAAGATTCAAATGTATGTATGTATGTATGTATGTATGTATGTATGTATGTATGCGAATCATATAAAAATCATATAAAAAACATATCATTGAAGAGTTTGTGCATATACACATGACCGATTCATAAATGTATACTATAATATATAGCAAATTATGACCTTTTCAAATGATATTAATTGTTCATAAACATATTTCTGGTGATTATCACTACAACTGCGATCATTTAAGCATAAAGTATAACCATATTTCTGAACCATGATATGCCTAGAGACAATAAAAGCTAATTACCAGTGCACAAACAACAGTATGTTCCTGAAAATGTATTTGATAAATTTGTCATGTGACCTTTTGACCTCAAGTGACCTTTGCCTCTAACCTCTGACCAAATATCATACATGGCCTAAAAGACCATTGCAATAGCTTTAAAACACGGTATAGGTTTTTAAAATAGGGTAATTAGCAGAAAATATATGAGGGTTTACGTTTCCCCTACCCCCATTTTATAATACCACTAGCGTCTGTTTTGGCGGTTCTACATTACCAAATTCAAACCTCAATTTCTCAGCTCGCCAGCATTTCCTAAAATGTCCTCAGGCTGTTTCATACTCTAGACATATTAACCTTCAAATTTATGCATGAGGACAAATGTGGCACTTTGGGTGCCACCAACTTCCAAAATAATGGCTTTTTGGGCCCTTGCTGCAGCACTAAGTACGAATCTGGAAGTAACGGTGTATCACCACACCACGTGTCTCTGTTCAGCAGAGTGTTGTTTCATTGTATTCGTCAGGTTTATTTATTGTTCAATGCACAGTGGTTGGATTGCAGGAACTTCAACAAGGCTTCGTAAGTGTTTAAAAGGGTGAGTTCTTCATTTTCAATAAAATTGAGTGTATTGCCATTATCGGGGGTGTACATCCTGTGATGTGCGTACATGTAGTAAGGGACTGGTCATTTTCTCCCAAGCTACAAGTAATATAAACCAAAAGTTCTTGGGGGGTCACTGTATTTTCAGGTGATGTGAAGGAGTGCATCCTGTTTTGCTTTTTGTTTGAGGGTCTTTTCATACTTTTGCGAAATCAGATTCTCCAGCAACCACCCACCCACCCTCGACCAAAGACAATGACAAGTCCTTAATGTGAATTGTAATGTTGATCGCCATATTTATACATGTATTCATGCGAATAACCAGAATATTAAAATATAAAAGCTTGTCAATTCATGAATCATATTTTTAATTTAAAGGGCGACAGTCGTCGTGCCGCGTCCTGTTCAAAATGGGACTCATAGCGACGTATACAATGCGTGTAAAATTCATTGTTTATTTACATGAAATTCGAACACGTGCTGCGCGACGACAACCCCGATTTAATGTACATGAATAATACTTGGGGTCGTAGTTTTTGAGTAAAACGTTTGCGGGTCTGTCATGCTTGTTGAGCGTGTCACGATTTCCGAAATACCCCCAAATCTGGATGTTTATGTATGTGTCGATTAAATTTGTTCATTAAAAAATAGTACGTTCCATATAATTGTATTCGTATCTTTGATGTTCTGAACATTGAGTGAACTGTTTGCATCAAGACCAGAGCCGGTCAAAACTTCGTGACTTTATATTTATTGAATCAATACAATGACGTTAGCCAATACTGTAAACTGACTAATTTTCACTGGGTTTACTTTTCGCTGATTTGCCATTTCAGGCATATTCAGTTTGTTTTAAATTCACGGTTTTATCATTTAGATAATGTGTTCTATGCTAAATTTTACATATTCACTGGGCTTCAATTTAGCGCATTTGTCAGTCAGCGAAATAAGCAAAATTAAAACCCAGTGAATAATTAATTCTTTTTCAGTATGTACTGTAACTAAATAGAGCTGTGTTTATCGGGACACGTACTCAAAATGCTTCCTGAAATTATATGTTATTGTCTATTGTTGCCAGTTTGATGTTTAAACTGTGAGCAGCGAACGTACTGGACACACAGGCCCTACTTGCAATGAAGATCTTGCCCCTGAACTTGGAAATCACCGATTTTGTGTTGATTCAACACGGAGGATTTACAATGACAACACAATCTTGTCGTTTGTGTTGTAGACTGAAGTACTAGTAGTATCAATGCATAATAGAAGGCCTTATCCATGCATGGACTGACCTAAGTTTAACTACAGGTTGATCACGGATGAAAGAAGAGGGTTTGCTGGCAGTGGTACTCGACGCGTGTGACAGCAGAGACATCTGGCTCATGCCATGTCAATTCGGATTCTGTACCTAGGGACTATACAATATTTAGCAGTTAAAAAGTTAAATGAAATGGTAGACTTTTTATCATGCGCAATAACGTAGAACAGTTATTTTTGGAGCATTCATTTCGTGCCAATTTGAAAATCACCCACGTCAGATTTTCCATGGATTCCCCCATGACTACCAAATGTCATACACTGTCCCGATCGACAGTTGCGAGTTTTCGTTTCGCAAGAAGGCCGACAAGTGTCTACGATTCAGCCACCAATTCGCGCCCCACGTAGGAACACGGACGCCCACGCCGTCACAGTGCTGTCAAAGGAGTCGGCATTGTTTACAACATCCCGACTTAACCTGGACTCAATCAACTGTTCGTTTCTTTTAACAGTTTAACACATCATAGTGAAAACACTTTACAATACGGCCCCCACAGGATTTAATCATGTACTGCCTCGTTTGGGGTATCAACTTCCTGGTCACGTCGGGTCAGGGGTCATGGCATTGAAGTCTTCATTGTTTTATTATATGCAAAAATTAAGGGTGCGTACGTTGAGTTATTATATAATTCACGGTTTACATTGCAAGAAATTCTATGTAAACTATTCAAATGAAAAAGCGATGTCTTTGTGCTAACATTTCTAGCTTGCTAAGACCATTTACTTATGAATCAAACATACCAGTTTCACCAAAGAAGAAAGTTTTTTCTATTTCTACCGCAAGCGGGTGTTGCGGTGGGATGCCATGCATGAGGTAAGGTACACAAACATACGTTAATACTTCGTAGTCAAGTAATTAATTATAAATTACATTCTAATTTTTTAATTTATTTATTTTTTACAAAGAACTCGAAAATTTCTAATTGTTTGGTATATCGAATTTACTGCTCATATTTTTGTGTTTTGGTAGTAAAGAGAGGGACGCATTTCTTATGTATATGAATTTCAGTTACAGAACGACGGATTCATTGATTATGTTGATGGATGTTAGTACCAGAGGCATAGGAAGTATAAGAACGATGGATATATTGATTATGCACGTTAGGGGCATGGACACATTGCTTATACATGTATATATGGATAAAGATATCATTACCAGATCAAGAACCAATTACTCAGGTTTATGGATTTCAGTACTGGGGGGCGGACGTCATATTGATTTGGTATATGAATTTTAGCATTAGAAAGACAGACCCATTGCTTTGTAATTTTAGCATGACTTTGAAGAACACATTACTCAGTATATGGAGTGTAGTACTAGTGTGTAGGACGAATTTGTTGCTTGGTATTTGGATTGTACCACCAGAGAGCAGCTATATTTCTTGGATATATCGTTATTAACATCATAGGTATAAACACATTTCTTAGATATATGGGTATTAACACCATAGGTGTAGACACATTTGTTAGATATATGGTTATTAACATCATAGGTATAGACACATTTCTTAGATATATGGTTATTAACATCATATGTATAGACACATTTCTTAGATATCTGGTTGTTAGTATTATAAAGACGGGCGCATTGATTAGGATAGAGGTTTTGGTACTCGGGTTCGGACTTATTTCTAAGGCATGGGTTTTAGTAGCACATATATAGATCTATTGCTCAGTTTGTGGAATTTAGTGCTAGATTGGAGTATATTAATGTTAGTACCAGAAGGACAGTACAATTGCTTGATCTTAAGATTTTACTGCCAGAGTGATGCGCCCAATGCTGAAGTATATGAGATTTGATACCAGAGGGACGGACTGGTATATGTATTTTACTGCCAGATGAACCGTCATATTCTTTATGTACATGGATATTAATTAGTACTAGAGGGATGGACCATTGCCTATGTATATGAATGTCAGTACCGGACGCACGGACCAATTGCTTATGTCCATGGATTTTATTATTAGGGGGGTGGACCATTACCAAGGTAAAAACAACGACAAAACTACCCATCCCACCCCGCCGATAATAAATGTACTATTCCCTATTTAAATTACATTCACATGCAAATATTTTATATCGGGTTTGGGTCATCGAATAACTACTACTACAACAGCGTACGAGTATATGAATTTTTAATTAATCAGCTGTCGCTATCAGTGAGATTCAATTATTGGCTTATTATGGTTGCACGTATACAAATACGTGGTAAGTAATGAGACACGGGTCCCGGGGGTATTATTGTGGCTGTGACCCCGATTAATACGGTATAGTTTTGATCGAGACGTCTATATTGGTAAACAACGGCCACAAAATAGTAAGACATGTGCAGCATTTAGATGGTTGACGCCCTGTAACGAGAACACGTCACGTCGCTATACCCGTTACTGTGTGAAGTCGTCACAAACACTTCCGCTAAACACAGTGCATGTATTCACACCATATGGTATAACAACCGGCAATGAATACACTGTTGTGTCAGACAATAGCCGGAGTCTGGGAAGCACGGAGCCTGTACCGTGGACACGTAAACTGCCTCATAGGAAAGCCACCATTGTTATCACTACGACACATCAATAACCGGAACTCCACGTTTACACTGTGACCCATTGACACCACCTACGTGGAATGAAACTACCACCATTATCAAACGGATTCCACGTTTCTGCTGTCATCCCTTAACGTTAAGTGCAGCATACGTAACTGCCACTATTGCCAACAGATCTCTGCTGCGATCCGTTGCAACTGCAGCTAACTAACTATCACCATTATTAACACAACTCTACTGCGATCTGTTGACGTCAATTGCTTCATAGTCGTAATACCACCATTATCAAACGGATACCACGTTTCTACCGTGACCCATCGAAGCTAACTGCCGAATACGCAACTACCACCATTATCAACAGGACTATACTGTGACCCGCTGAACAGGTGGCCAGTTCCCGATATATCAGCGGACTGATTTTTAAACTGTGCAGGCTGCGATAGACGTTGAGACTCGTCGATTGATGTCACAGGTGTTGGTCTGTTGGGTGATTGAAGCACAATGATCGTGTATGTGTGGAAGAAGCGGCGTGTATTACGTTTAATGGTGTTTATCATGTTTGCACTGTTTTGTTGGAAACTGTACATAACTATACCTAATCTACAACCCGACAGAACTGATAGCGGTGACCTTTCTCAGATTGAAAAGAATGACTTTTCGTCGTTGGATAGCCACATTAAAAAGAAGGAACAGGTATTGTATATAAATATAAGTAATCGCGACAAGTCCTTCTTCTGCGGAGGTGAATAATTAGGGGCCAACCAGTGCGTTTATTTCACACCGGGTGTGGGGGGGGGGGGTTGCAATACTAAAATAATGGCAGAGGTCGCTGTACATGAGGGGGTGTAATAGTGTACTCAGGAATTAGGGTAAGAATACTAGAAAAACTGATACGTAATACTAGTACATGTATATCAAAAACAAAAACAAACAAATTACGCAGTTATGACGTAGCACTTGCATTCACAGCTTTGGAATAATGACTTCAGTAATTAGTTCATGGACAATGGGTGTGTCCAAGGAGTTGTGAACTGACACATCCCTATACAGGTCTGATGTGGTAATTGGGGCGAGTACACCGTACCCGTATGTGAAACAATACGTTTCCAAACTCTGGGTATGTTGCATATTTTGTAAGCGTTGAGATGGCCAACATCTTTTTAATCAATGAAAGCTTTCCTGTCTTTGCATACAGAACCGTTGCTAATAAAATGTCAATGTTCGTAACTCAATACAGGTTTATATTTATATTTCCCATCAATAATTTTTACAATAACATGCCGACAAAAATGTGGCTTTCCGTTCACTGCGGGATCACGCACAATGTGTGAAAGACGCGGTTCGAACGTCAGTCCGGTCGCAAAACAATTTTGATTTTGAGTTCTCTTTTATACCCCAATGTCAAACTGCCAATTTTTCAGAGACAATATACCACTGAGATATCCTAGCTTCGTCAAAATTATCACGCGCAGAAATAGTTTCGCGTTTGTTGAATCCTACGCGATGTTTTCACGACACTATGACCATTGTTTGTTCTATTCGATTTCACGCATATTGCTGGATCTCGCAGTGAACAACAATTGTTAGAAAGTTGGGAACGATCATAATGATCATATATATAATCGATCATAGTTTGAACATGAAAATAAAATAGTGCATAGCTAACAATGCATACCACGTCATCACATTCACATAAATCATTGATACCCGTCGCGTCTCGTATCTCTTACAATAAACTCGTGCTGACATGCTTCATCGTTTTCCTTTCTTTATCATTATGTCTAAAAAAAATTTTTTTTTAGGTTTTGCTATTTCTAGCGTGATTTTCTGCAGACAAACGTATACAAACTGAATAATGTGCCCAGTCAGTATTCGTATGATTGTATCCATACAACAAATCCGCGTTACATTGGATTTGTGCGACCAGGTGCGAAATATGCAATATCGTGTTCAAGCCAAATGCGCCCACTTTAAACGTGTTTTAAACGTGTTCCAACTTAATTATAAATAATATATTCTCAACGTTTCAACATTACGAAATACATCATTATGAAACGCGTCAGCACAGGTCGATTGTGAATGTTATGACACGCGGCACAAAAAGTAGGAATGATATACATATAAATTCGATGTATGTTGTTCTCAGCAATAAAAAAACTAAATCCTACACAAATATAAAAAAAGTATAACTGGATTTATAATATAAGTGTATTAATATGTAGCAATATCTATATTACTGACAGCCAATTTTATGTAAAAGCGTTTAATCGTTGTTTTGACGTGTTTCTCGGAGATGACTAGACTAATTTAAATCAAAGTTGGAATAATGATCATACATATTGGGTTAAATGTGCACATCTTTGTTTATGTAATAAGAACAAATATTATCGATTAGTGGCAATTTACTATTTTTTCGCTTACATGCAAGTTCCTTTTTAATGCAATGGTCGTCTCCGTCTTACCATTATATGTACACCGATGGAATACTAAGAGATACTTCTGTGCCACTAAAAAAAGACTACGCTTGATACAATACATGATGATGTTTAATGACTTGATATAATGACAAAACAAATCACAAATCCCCAACATTTCATCATTTCTCAAACATACTTTATTTGTCGTTTAACCATTTTAATAAGTGCATGACATAGACATGCACTGCAAGTTGCTTTACTTTCTTTTTTCATCTATGATTTATTTGCTATGTCTTATTGTTGACCATATAAGACAATGTTAAATACAATTGGCGGGACTTGTTTTTACGTTCGATTTCACGCATAACGTGGGATCTCGCAGTGAAAAAACAGTCTGACATCAAGATTACGTACGATCATATATGGAAATGTAAAACATCAATCATAGTTTGCAACATGAAATTAAAATAGTGCATAGCTATAAATGCACACCACGTCATCACATTTCGTAAATTATTGGTACCCGCCACGTATTGTATATTTTACAATAGACTCGTGCTGACATGCTTCATCGTTTTACCTTACCTGTATCATCAAAGATGAAAGGGAAGGGTATGTTAAGGGAAAAATGTCTGTCTGTCGTCGTCGTTAATATTTGTTAATGTGTGCACAACAACTTTACTAATTCTATTCCAAATTACAATTACAATACAATATAAGAGTGCATTTACGCTGTTGTATCTACAATATCATAACAGTGCATTTACGTATTCGTATATAAAATATAAGTGTATTTACGTATATAAAATATAACAGTGTATTTATGTATTCGTATATAAAATATAACAGTGCGTTTACGTATATAAAATATAACAGTGCATTTACGTATTCGTATATAAAATATAACAGTGCGTTTACGTATTTGTATATAAAATATAACAGTGCGTTTACGTATATAAAATATAACAGTGCATTTACGTATATAAAATATAACAGTGCGTTTACGTATTCGTATATAAAATATAACAGTGCGTTTACGTATATAAAATATAACAGTGCATTTACGTATTCGTATATAAAATATAACAGTGCGTTTACGTATTTGTATATAAAATATAACAGTGCGTTTACGTATATAAAATATAACAGTGCATTTACGTATATAAAATATAACAGTGCATTTACGTATTCGTATATAAAATATAACAGTGCGTTTACGTATATAAAATATAACAGTGCATTTACGTATTCGTATATAAAATATAACAGTGCGTTTACGTATATAAAATATAACAGTGCATTTACGTATATAAAATATAACAGTGCATTTACGTATTCGTATATAAAATATAACAGTGCGTTTACGTATATAAAATATAACAGTGCATTTACGTATTCGTATATAAAATATAACAGTGCGTTTACGTATATAAAATATAACAGTGCATTTACGTATTCGTATATAAAATATAACAGTGCGTTTACGTATTTGTATATAAAATATAACAGTGCGTTTACGTATATAAAATATAACAGTGCATTTACGTATATAAAATATAACAGTGCGTTTACGTATTTGTATATAAAATATAACAGTGCGTTTACGTATATAAAATATAACAGTGCATTTACGTATATAAAATATAACAGTGCGTTTACGTATTCGTATATAAAATATAACAGTGCATTTACGTATATAAAATATAACAGTGCATTTACGTATTCGTATATAAAATATAACAGTGCATTTACGTATATAAAATATAACAGTGCATTTATGTATTCGTATATAAAATATAACAGTGCATTTACGTATATAAAATATAACAGTGCATTTACGTATTCGTATATAAAATATAACAGTGCGTTTACGTATATAAAATATAACAGTGCATTTACGTATATAAAATATAACAGTGCATTTACGTATTCGTATATAAAATATAACAGTGCGTTTACGTATATAAAATATAACAGTGCATTTATGTATTCGTATATAAAATATAACAGTGCATTTACGTATTCGTATATAAAATATAACAGTGCATTTACGTATTCGTATATAAAATATAACAGTGCATTTACGTATTCGTATATAAAATATAACAGTGCATTTACGTATTCGTATATAAAATATAACAGTGCATTTATGTATTCGTATATAAAATATAACAGTGCATTTACGTATTCGTATATAAAATATAACAGTGCGTTTACGTATATAAAATATAACAGTGCATTTACGTATTCGTATATAAAATATAACAGTGCATTTATGTATTCGTATATAAAATATAACAGTGCATTTACGTATTCGTATATAAAATATAACAGTGCGTTTACGTATTCGTATATATAACAGTGCATTTACGTATTCGTATATAAAATATAACAGTGCATTTACGTATTCGTATATAAAATATAACAGTGCATTTACGTATTCGTATATAAAATATAACAGTGCATTTACGTATTCGTATATAAAATATAACAGTGCATTTACGTATTCGTATATATAACAGTGCATTTACGTATTCGTATATAAAATATAACAGTGCGTTTACGTATATAAAATATAACAGTGCATTTACGTATATAAAATATAACAGTGCATTTATGTATTCGTATATAAAATATAACAGTGCATTTACGTATTCGTATATAAAATATAACAGTGCGTTTACGTATATAAAATATAACAGTGCATTTACGTATTCGTATATAAAATATAACAGTGCATTTACGTATTCGTATATAAAATATAACAGTGCATTTACGTATATAAAATATAACAGTGCATTTATGTATTCGTATATAAAATATAACAGTGCATTTACGTATTCGTATATAAAATATAACAGTGCATTTACGTATTCGTATATAAAATATAACAGTGCATTTATGTATTCGTATATAAAATATAACAGTGCATTTACGTATATAAAATATAACAGTGCATTTACGTATTCGTATATATAACAGTGCATTTACGTATTCGTATATAAAATATAACAGTGCGTTTACGTATATAAAATATAACAGTGCATTTACGTATTCGTATATAAAATATAACAGTGCGTTTACGTATATAAAATATAACAGTGCATTTATGTATTCGTATATAAAATATAACAGTGCATTTACGTATATAAAATAAACAGTGCGTTTACGTATTCGTATATATAACAGTGCATTTATGTATTCGTATATAAAATATAACAGTGCATTTACGTATATAAAATATAACAGTGCATTTACGTATTCGTATATATAACAGTGCATTTACGTATTCGTATATAAAATATAACAGTGCGTTTACGTATATAAAATATAACAGTGCATTTATGTATTCGTATATAAAATATAACAGTGCATTTACGTATATAAAATAAACAGTGCGTTTACGTATTCGTATATATAACAGTGCGTTTACGTATTCGTATATAAAATATAAGTGCATTTACGTATTCGTATATAAAATATAACAGTGCGTTTACGTATTCGTATATAAAATATAACAGTGCGTTTACGTATTCGTATATATAACAGTGCGTTTACGTATTCGTATATAAAATATAACAGTGCGTTTACGTATTCGTATATATAACAGTGCGTTTACGTATTCGTATATAAAATATAACAGTGCATTTACGTATTCGTATATAAAATATAACAGTGCGTTTACCGTAGTTGTATCTAAAATATAAGTGCATTTACGTAGTTGTATCTAAAATATGACGCGGACATGGTACAACAACAGGTATTTACAATAAAATCAGACAAGTGTAAGAGAACGTGTTTTCAAACATATCGAAACTTGTTGATTAATATTCGTAACACGTCGGTCGGTCGTTTTAATTAGAAATCACTGCGCCTGTTCAATATATCTGACATTATATGCTTCTCAACAGTTGATGTGAAACAAGGAAACATTCCTACAGATCATTTGGCTATTGAAGTCGTATTTTTCGGCGTAACTTGGTTGAAAGCTCTTTCAATTTCGAATAATTGCTTAAAAATCATATTTGAAAGTTACAGCGTTCGTGGGGTAGACTTCTTTAAAGCTGGTGTGTTGTGCCGTTTATAGAAACGTAAATACTAACAACTTTGCCGGCGACTACTATGTTGTGCGAGATAGCTTTACTGAAGTGAAATGGCACAGACGATGCATGGACAAATAACGTTCTATTTGTCTAGTTTTCTGAGGGATATCTCAATGACATTTCTGGCATGAATAGATTCGAACTGTCCGCGTCTAAAACCCATAGAACACAAAGCACTTAAAATTAGGATTATATTTCATCCCATATATCATGGCATTTCATTTTAATAAAGCAGTGCATATCGATCGGCTATACATCAGGGCCAGAACGCTATATGAATTACACACATTAGGGATGAATTCTGTTGTCAATTTAAATCAGCAAAAAAACGATAGTTTATTGTTACAATTCATTGTATAATATTATGCCGTGATAACTTTGAAACTACAACATTAATGTAATATTCATTCCGACTTAACTAAACATTTTATTTTACTCAGATTTAAACGTAAAACATGTTATTAAACTTAAATTAAACTGACATGAAGTTCGAACATTGTGTGCTAATCTGTCTTGTGTATTGATGTCAAGGAGCGCGCATCAAACGGTTCGTAGTTTGCAGTGCCCTCGCAACGAGCATACCGTCGACACCGTCAAACACTCACTTCATACTTTCTATATTCTCATGTATTTCAGAATTACGGGGGTATAAGTAAGAACATTGTCATCGGTTTGCCCAAAGTGGAAGGCATCGAAGTTGATTTGAATTCAAAGAGAAAAGACATTGGGGGCAAGAAGGATACAAAGGAGATAGTAGAAGACACACTTACATTTGAAGCTGGTGCTGTTTTTAAGCCTGGAATAGTGGGTAATTTTGAGCCACCTAAATCGGAACGTCGTACTGGGCTTGGTGAAGGCGCGATACCCGTACAATTGAATCCTGCAGATGAAAATAAATACGTGAAAGCAAAACGAGAATTTGGTTTCAATATGGTTATCAGTGACCAGATTTCACTTGACAGAACAGTAAAAGATATTAGAGATCCAGAGTAAGTTTATTTTTCATTTAGTTGAATGTGAAGATGCTGTACCATGTGATACTACATAACAGGCCTCAATTTACCAGGGTACTAGCTGTATTTACGTCAACACTAATTTCCCATTGATTTCCTGTAATACAGAAATATGTCATATTTTAGCAGCTTTCACTCCTGTCGATCTGAAGCTCTGTCAGTGTTAGTTACATGCTTATACAGGCTATATACAGATGTACGAGTGTATGCATATATATACATATAGTTATATATCTTAATCAGACTGCATGCAGAGACATAAACATAAACATATGGGCAGGCTCTATTTATGTATCTGCCTGAAACAGGCTATTTGAAGTACAAGTGTTGTTAAAGGCCTGAATTAGATATACAGTGACATATAGATATAGATTTAGCTATATATCTATATGCAGAGATATAGAGATGTAGATATATACCTGCATCAGTCAATATGCAGAGATATAGAGATGTAGATATATACCTGCATCAGTCAATATGCAAAGATATAGAGATGTAGATATATACCTGCGTCAGACTATATGCAAAGATATAGAGATGTAGATATATACCTGCGTCAGACTATATGCGGAGATATAAATGTAGATATATACCTGCATCAGTCAATATGCAGAGATATAGAGATGTAGATATATACCTGCGTCAGACTATATGCAAAGATATAGAGATGTAGATATATACCTGCGTCAGACTATATGCGGAGATATAAATGTAGATATATACCTGCGTCAGACTATATGCGGAAATATAGACGTAGTTATATACCTGCATCAGACTATATACAGAGATATAGATGTAGTTATATCTCTTAATCTTAAAGTGCGGAATATGGTTATACTTATATGTCTGAATCAGGAAGTTTTACTATTAAATATAGAATCTAGCTTATGAGGAACAAACGATCTGTGAAATACTATTTGATTATTTATATTATTACTAATTTTGACTGAAATATTAAGGGGCTAACATTAAAACAGTTGGCCTGGGAAAAGTGGAGTTTCATGCCCTGTCCTGTTCTAACTGAAAAAAATCAAGTCATGTCAAGACTGAATTATTTAATGTACTTTATAGGTGTAAATACTGGCATTATCCGACGGACTTGCCAACAGCAAGTGTTGTGTTAGTGTTCATTAACGAAGGGTGGTCGACACTAATGAGAACAGTACATAGTGTATTCAATACGTCACCATCACATCTTTTAGCTGAGATTGTAATGGTAGATGACTTCAGTGACAAAGGTAAGTGCAATATTCTATGTGATGGTAAATATTAATATTTATTCGTATATATGTGTGTGTGTGTGTGTGCGTATGTGCGTGTGTCTTCACTGACACCGCTGCTTCAATTTTTGTTTGATACGATGATAGATCATTTGAAGAGCAAATTGGAAGAATATATAAAGCAAGACAGATTTGAAGGAAAGATAAAACTTGTAAGAAACGCTAAACGGGAAGGTTTGATCAGGGCTCGAACCATTGGTGCTATAAATGCTGAAAGGGGCGAAGTTGTCGTGTTTCTGGACGCTCACTGTGAATGCTCCCCGAATTGGTTACCTCCGCTATTATCACGTATTAAGCAAAACAGGTAAAACGTCACTAGAAACCATCATTGTTAATGTATATAGTCGACATGGCCATACAAATATCTATGATAATAATAATAATGCAGATATTGATATGAATATGTGTACAGTCAAAAGTTTACCAGATGATGTGACCAGTAACGACATTAATGTACTGTTACACCTTGACAGGAAGGCGGTTGTTTGCCCCTTAGTAGATGCTGTAGATGCTGATAATTTCGGTTATGCCCCTCAAGCTGATGGCATGGCACGAGGCGTTTTCAATTGGGACTTCTTTTATAAGCGTATTCCAATACCACCCAAAGAGGCGAACAGAAGAGAACGTAACAGTGAACCATACAGGTAATGTAGTGCGATAAGTTATTAGAAGAGAGCGTAACATTGAACCAGGCAGATATTGTAGCGTGATAAGTTATTAGATGAGAATGTGATATTGAATCATGCATGTATGTTTCATTTGAGTAGTCATTAGAAGAACCCGTAATAGTGGTTCATATGGGTACCGTACGTGTGAATGGCCATTAGTTATATTGGGACTGTGTATTTGAATATTGTGTTTGTGTTTTTGAATATAGAGTTTGTGTATTTGAATATTGTGTTTGTGTTTTTGAATATAGTGTTTGTGTATTTGAATATTGTGTTTGTGTTTTTGAATATAGTGTTTGTGTATTTGAATATTGTGTTTTTGAATATTGAGTTTGTGTATTTGAATATTTTGATTGTGTATTTTGATTGTGTAGTTAAATATTGTGTTTGTGTAGTTAAATATTGTGGTTATGTATTTGAATAATGTTTGTGTATTTGAATATTGTGTTTGTGTATTTGAATATTGTGATTGTGTATTTGAATATTGTTTGTGTATTTAAATATTGTGTTTGTGTATTCAAATATTATGGTTATGTATTTGAATAATGTTTGCGTGTTTGAATATTGTTTGTGTATTTGAATATTGTTTGTGTATTTGAATATTTTGTTTATGTATTTGAATAATGTGTTTGTGTATTTGAATACTTTGTTTGTGTATTTGAATATTGTGATTGTGTATATGTATAATGTGATTGCGTATTTGTATATTGCATTTGAATATTGTGTTTGTGTATTTGAATAATGTGTTTACATATTTGAATATTGTGTTTGTGTATTTGAATAATGTGTTTGTGTATTTGAATAATGTGTTTGTGTATTTGAATATTGTGTTTGTGTATTTGAATAATGTGTTTGTATATTTGAATGTTATGTTTGTGCATTTGAATAATGTGTTTGTTTATTTGAATATTGTGTTTGTGTATTTGAATATTGTGTTTGTGTATTTGAATAATGTGTTTGTGTATTTGAATAATGTGTTTGTGTGTTTTAATATTGTGTTTGTGTATTTAAATATTATGAATATGTATTTGAATATTGTGTTTGTGTATTTGAATATTGCGATTGTGTAATTGAATATTGTTTGTGTATTTAAATATTGTGTTTGTGTATTCAAATATTATGGTTATGTATTTGAATAATGTTTGTGTATTTGAATATTGTTTGTGTAATTGAATATTGTGTTTGTGTATTCAAATATTATGGTTATGTATTTGAATAATGTTTGTGTGTTTGAATATTGTTTGTGTATTTGAATATTGTTTGTGTATTTGAATATTTTGTTTATGTATTTGAATATTGTGTTTGTGTATTTGAATATTGCGATTGTGTAATTGAATATTGTTTGTGTATTTAAATATTGTGTTTGTGTATTTAAATATTGTGGTTATGTATTTGAATAATGTTTGTGTATTTGAATATTGTGTTTGTGTATTTGAATATTGCGATTGTGTAATTGAATATTGTTTGTGTATTTAAATATTGTGTTTGTGTATTTAAATATTGTGGTTATGTATTTGAATAATGTTTGTGTATTTGAATATTGTGTTTGTGTATTTGAATATTTTGTTTATGTATTTGAATATTGTGTTTGTGTATTTAAATATTGTGTTTGTGTATTCAAATATTATGGTTATGTATTTGAATAATGTTTGTGTGTTTGAATATTGTTTGTGTATTTGAATATTGTTTGTGTATTTGAATATTTTGTTTATGTATTTGAATAATGTGTTTGTGTATTTGAATACTTTGTTTGTGTATTTGAATATTGTGATTGTGTATATGTATAATGTGATTGTGTATTTGTATATTGCATTTGAATATTGTGTTTGTGTATTTGAATATTGTGTTTGTGTATTTGAATAATGTGTTTGTGTATTTGAATAATGTGTTTGCGTATTTGAATATTGTGTTTGTGTATTTGAATAATGTGTTTGCGTATTTGAATATTGTGTTTGTGTATTAGAATAATGTGTTTGTGTATTAGAATAATGTGTTTGTGTATTTGAATATTGTGTTTGTGTATTTGAATAATGTGTTTGTGTATTTGAATAATGTGTTTGCGTATTTGAATAATGTGTTTGTGTATTTGAATAATGTGTTTGCGTATTTGAATAATGTGTTTGTGTATTTGAATAATGTGTTTGCGTATGTTGTGTTTCTTTCTTTGAGTATTAGGTGTGTAGATATCGCTGCATACCTACATTGCATGGCGCTTCCGGTCTAGCGTGTGCTGATGAATCACACCATCAGAGTGTTCGTCAACCAATGTTTATTTTTTGTTTTACGTTGGCTGATATTTCATCGGTTGTATTTTTTTATGAACACATCTTGATCATACTTGTTCTGCAGGTCCCCTGTGATGGCTGGTGGTCTATTTGCCTTGTCTAGGTCTTTCTTTTTCGACATTGGTGGTTATGATAATGGACTTGATATCTGGGGAGGAGAACAATACGAAATTTCTTTCAAGGTAATATCATAAGCGCAAATCCGGCGTTCACATATACTACGTGTCAACGTAGGACCGTGAACGTCCTAATGTTATTGTCCCTAACTTTTATTGTTTAATTGTCTTTGTTTTCTTTGTTAATATTGCACGGAATGGACAACATTTGGTCACATTTATTTGTTTTTTAATTTTGAACAAAACTCACAGATTTAGTCTATGAAAGGTGGTGAAAGTCGACGTTGGTGTTAAATGAAAGACTGTGACGAGTTGTGGAATGTTTATTAGTCCCCGTTGGGATACAGTCCGAAAACGGGGACTTATGTTTTGACCCGTACGCGTCGTACTTCTGCGCGTGCGTGCGTGCGTGTGTGTGTGTGCGCGTGCGTCCGTCCGAACCTGTATCTTAGAAATGGGTGGACCAATCATAATCAAACTTCACACATACATCATACATGGTATTATACATATGCCCATCAATTTGTTTTACGATCTGATTCAAGATTGCCGAATAGGCGGCCATTTTTTTTGTGCTAAAAAATCATCAAAATCAAGCATTTCTCGGCTGTTTACAGATGGATTATTTCAAATTTGGTATACACATTACACATTATGGGACCTTGATGCAAATAATTTGTTTTTCAGATTAGATTAAAAATAGCCGACTGGCGGCCATTTTGTTACCTTGCCCGTACCATCAAAGATGGAAGGGAAAGGTATAATAAGGGAAAACAATTTGTCCGGCGTTGTCGTCGTTGTTGTCGTTGTCGTCATTGCTGTCGTTAATACTTGTTATTGTGTGCATAATAACTTTACTAATTCTATTCCAAACGTCATCAAACTTGGTCACCTTATTCATCAGTATAAAGTCTTCCCTGAGTTTGAACAACAGATGTCTTGTATGAAAATATCATACAAAAATTGAGAAAATCTGATAAAATATTTTGACTGTTTCCACTTGACTGATCACTGGTGATACACATCAAAGGTCACTGATCTCAGTGGAAATATGCATTGTTGTATGTGTTCAGTGAAGCAAATCATTTATCTTGTAATAATATCTTTGGTAATATATCTCCCAAATCCCATGGGAATACTCGACTGGGTTTCAAAACTAACTCATAGAGAGATTTTTTGCACAATCTGATACACATTTGCAAACCTACCAATAAAATCTTTACAGAAAACAAGATGTCAGAAATCAATATAAGCACTGCTATGAACTGGGTGCCAAACTTTGATAAAGATCTGAAGCTGATAGAAAATCTGTTTAGTTCAAAGTTATCAAATCAAAAACAATACATAAAAAATCCAAAACGTTGCATCCACATTTTGAGAAGAAAATTGTACTAAAATATATGTATTCTGTATTTGACAAACAGTTCATTCGACAAATGAAAATTCACAGGAATTTGTTTCAGCTATTAGAACAGAATGCTAGAGCTTTTATAATACTAATTTAAAAACGCACTTCACAAACAAAGATTGCAGTGTTCGAAGATTAGATTCTCAGGAGGCTACACTACTGTTGACTTCTCTCTCCACTGGACACCAACTAACTATTTAAGTTGATTTGCATACAAAGCAGAGCTTGTAACATGATAGCTATTCATAGAGGGTGTTTTTTTTTTATTTTCATATAATACAGTAGTCACACAATGAATATAATAAGGCAGTTCATATTTGTATCAGTGAATCATTATTTTTTGACAGACACCTGTTCTCGCATACGACTTATTTACCACTTCCGTGTCACTGAGAATGTTCTAGAACCGTACTGTGTCTGGGTGGAATATTCTAGATTTTTTTTTAGAAACTGGTTGAATAGGTAATAGAACACTGCAGAAGACAATAGAAGGTAATGGGACATTCTAGAATTTGTAGTAAGTTCCAGACTCATTATGTATGCTGATGTAATGGTCTATTTATAGACAGTGGGGTATATATAGGGGTGTTGTTCAGATCGGAGATCTCGTTGAATTGTATTGGAGTTTAAGTATCTAGTTATTGGAGTAGTGGAGTTTTACCGCGTTATTGTACTTGATGTTTGCAGAGTATAATAATACCAGTACCAGTTGAAGCCTCATCTGTTGGCTCCGTGTTTGTATGTTATCATCGCCGCCAGGGAAGTCTTTCTGTTACTGTTGCCATTTTGGTATTTGAACCATCACACCTGTACTATACCAATTACGGTAATATTACGTTGCGTGTGACACCTGTACAAAATACTTGGACAAAAGCCAGCTAAGATTTTCGGTTATCTTGCATGTTTTATGAATCTATTCACGTCTAAATGCAGCACTTTGTTTCTGCTATGAGGCATTTTTTTATACTAAAATATCTGAATTACTTTGAATAAAGCTTGAAATTATGTCCCTTAAAATAATTAAACAAATTATACACCAATGTTTTTGTAAGATATTTATATTTGTTAAGTACATTCGGTAGACTGATTTCCCACTGTTGTATTCAAAATTAATTATGACAATGCATATTCATATTGAAATAAACTATGATATTTAGGGAATTATATTATATAACAAAGGGCAAGGTCACCAGAGTTTAACTATGTTTTTATCGTGCCATATCTCTGAATTGCTTTGACTGATTATGTTCAAATATTTAATATTCATTATACATCATGTCATAGAAATACAGATATATTGGTTTGACGATCCTATTCAAAATGGCCGAATGGTGGTCATTTTTGTGCTAAACAATCATCAAATATCAAGCATTTCATTTTTCAGATCGGATTAAAAGTGGCTGACTGGTGGCAATTTTGTTTTAATGAATGCGCTTCTAGACCCATATTTCTGACTTGTATTTACTGATTGTGTTAAAATTTTATATATTCGTTATACATCATGTTATAGATATATACATGTATTCAAAACGACTGATTTTGTTTTAATTAAGGCTATTCCAGAGAAATATCTCTCAATATGGACAAGTACGTGTTTGAAGATCAGATACAAATGTCAATCATTTTAATGTTAAACAATCATCATAATCATATTCCTGACATGGTTATATTCCAGCTATATTACTATAAACAAAACAATATATCTTAAATTTGATAACTAACGGGGACTGTGCCATGCATGGCTTGTTATTTCAGATTTGGATGTGTGGCGGTATCTTAGAGTTTGTACCATGTTCACGCGTTGGTCATATTTATAGGAGAGGAGGTATTCCCTATTCGTATCCACAGAGTGATGACGGTATTTCAATAGTAAACAAGGTAGGTACAATAAAACGACGAACTCATGAAATATTTCCATCATTTATTATATATCTGTTATTTGAATGAATAATGGAATACAATCTGGTAAGTTGCAACATATTATTACGGCTACACTGACACGTGAAACATACATGTCCAATTATATCATACTTGTTGATTTCTAAACACTGAACGTCTTGATATAATTACGGGCAGAATTATCTTCGTGTGGCAGAAGTTTGGATGGACGAGTATAAAGAATATTTCTATCGTATGAAACCTGAACTACGTGGAAAACCTTATGGTGACATCACAGAGCAGGTGCAATTCCGCCAAGAACACTGTCCTCATGATTTCAAATGGTTTATGGACGAAGTAGCGTATGATATTACAGAAAGATTCCCTCTGATATCTAAAAATATCGGATGGGGAGAAGTAAGTATTTTCTGGAATGTCCCGAAACTCACAACACATGTTTAGGTATAATGAATGAACCATTATTTGTAGCGGGATTCTGATTTAGAAACTAATTATTTGTCTCTCATTGGTCGAACGGCTTTTGGACGTACCAAATGTCTACTTTCGTCCCATGCTAGTTTTATATTACCATATAACTTACAGAAAAGGTGTGCGTGCAATACACCTCAGCGTATGTGATGCATACAAACATCTCCGGCATAAGTGGATTCCTTTGCTCAACTCCTGTTGATGTACATATTCCACTTTAATCCAATCCCGCATTTACTTACTATACATATCACATACTTACCCAATTCTCACCTTGAGTACTTATTATACGTACTACTACTTGTAAAGACCGACTGCTAGACTACTTGATACGTACTTCACCCTTACCCAATCCTCACAACTATTAACTTGTATTAACATATACATTGCACCTTTACCCATCTTCTTACTTATAGGGTACTTGAATTGGTACACGTATGTAGAATGTTTACTGTAATCACTCATGGCCGACAAGGTCCACAAGGACAATCACCTGTCACACCCGTGAACCGAAGATAGCAATTAGTAACATCACAAATCCGATCACAATCATAATCATTGATTTGATATTCGGTTGTACCCACTATACCCATCCCTGTACCCGGGGTGCATGATTCGATGTTCTTTTTCACCCTCTATGCCCATCTCCGGGTAATTATCTTCTTATTTATCTCTTCACCTGGGGTACTTGATTTGATATTTCCGTTGCACTCATCATACACATCTCCACACCTCGGTGCTTGAGTTGATTTTCTAGTGCCCATCTCCACAACTAGTATATTTTGAGTATTGAGATGATCTTTTTACTTTTTGTTAGGTTAGAGGTGTTGGTTCCTCAAAATGTGTGGATAGTATGGGACGATCTCCTAGCGGTAAAGTGGCGTTGTATGGTTGTCATGGTTATGGAGGGAGCCAGTTGTTGCGATTAAATGAAGGCGGTGAATTTCGTGTCAACGAGGAGTGTCTGTATACAGATGGATCGACAGTGAAATTGGAGCGTTGTGTGCCGAGAAAACAATATGGCTGGAATTTCAATGAGGTAAGTTTAGCGTCCTGAAAGAATTATAAATACATTGTGATTCGCAACAATGTCAACCGATGAGGTCAAACGTTCGAATAGACTTTTGAAGTTTTTGTGATTTCTGATTGGAGATACGGACAACTATCTCAGGGTTGTGTATGACGAGTATGTCGTTGTGTATGGCGTGTATGGGTCTCGTAGTAGTGTAATACAATCATACACCAAGTGTATTTATAACGCACAATTAATATCGTTTTCACTTCGTTTCAGAATGACTCTAAGATAACTGTTCAAGACGGTATGTGTCTTGACCGAACAGAAACTGAGCTGTTTGTATCCCCATGTCTGCCTGATAAAGACACACAAAAATGGCAATTCAATGAATTGAGTTAACGGTGATTAAATATGCATACATTGTTGTTTCATATTAATTGCAAATTCTCTTGTCTTTTCAAAGTTGCGTCACAACTAATTTAAAAATTACAAGTCATTTTGTCATCTGCTTTTTAGTTTTGCAAACAAAATTGCGTCACAGTGCATTTGGGGGATTTGTATTTTATTTATGTAGATTGATAGGAACATACTGCTGACTTAATCACAGAACGTTTATTTGAATTGTATCTTATTACACAAGTTATTTGTATACTGTATTTTACATCTTATCTACAGAGTAAGTACTGTAAAAGGGTTAATTATTCACTGGGTTTAAATTTTGCTGACTGGAAAATGCGCTAAATTAAAACCCTGTGAATATGTAAAATTTAGCATAGAACACATTATCTAAATGATAAAACTGTGAATTTAAAACCTACTGAATATGCCTGAAATGGTAAATCAGCGAAATTTAAACCCAGTGAAAAATAGTCATTTTACAGTAATTAGAATGTTGATGAGAATATTTATGACACATATTGTAATATTTTAATCTTTAAATTAAAAATGGCTATTATCAAACAAAATGTAAAAGAAGAAAATTGTCACGATTGATAGGAAAAATCCTATGCCAAGTAAAATACACATATATATTGAGTAGATTAAAGATATTGTTAAAATATTAATATCGTTTAATTTATTATTGTTTTCCGAATGTGTTAAATTGGTCAATTGGTTCTCTCAGGTGATCACTTCATGACGACTAACCTGGATATACACTCGCTTTTCTTATAGAGCATGTAGTATTTATCGCTATCAGATGTATATTTCTCATGACATTTTCCGCCTGGTAATAAAATGTATCAAAGTTCTATCAACGAAAACAATTGAATTAAGGATTATATAGCGACAATTGAATAAATCCTCCTTCCCTATTGTATCATACCAACATGTACGAACTGTTGATTGTTAATGTAGAGTACGTGATCATCATTGTAGATATTTCTGCTAGTGTTGAGTGGATATCACCCAAGGTAAACCGTAACTGCAACATTGGCCGTGTTACAATATTTTGCTTACCAAATAATTAAATTCGACTTCAGTTTTATTAGACTTCAGTGTATTTAAGTTAAAACAAAGTTTAGTATTCAGTAATTTAGTTTAACGGGTCAACAGTAATACAGCAGCAATTGAAACAACCACCTATTCATTCCCTTCAAATGCGTTGCAGTGTCGTAGCGGGCACAAGTACAACGGCTCCCGTCTGATTGCTTGTGAACTCACAAGTACGTATTTCTACAGTTCCTGGCCAAAGGAAGGTTTCCGATGAAAACTTACTTACTAGTTTTAGATGGATGCGTAATCAGTGGCTATGTCATATGTGGTAAGGAACGTTTTAGTATATTTGGTATTTTGTATATAACATTATGTGATGTGTTAATAATACATGGCATACATTTCTAGAATACGATACCCTAGATTAATATCATATAGAACATATCTGAATAAAGTAAAGATAAGATTCAATTTCTGACAGATATGTGTCTTGAAAATCTAACTGGGTATTGAAGGTCACATGTGTGCTTGCTATTATTTACTTTGGGTTAGCCTACAAACCAAACATAAATACATACAGTGATATTCATATTTGACCTATTGCTCTGAAACGCAATGTGTGTATGATTTAAAGGCGCTAGCGATTTACTCTGTCTTACAAATATGCCTTATTTATACTCATCAAATTATAAGAACATCACACCTTCTTTGATATCGTACATCTCAAGTTCCAAAAGTTAGTTTCGGTCAAAGTCTCTCTAACTCGGTCTCTCTAAATACATATACATGTTCTTTAGAAGAAGCCAACAGCTCTAAAAGTTCTCGACTACATCAACATGCTCACAACTTCAAAAATATATATTCAACATCAACTGCAACCTGTCTCAGCATAAAATTTGATCCTGAGCTGAAATATTCATGAGTCCTACTTTCGGTGGGTTTGTAAATTCCGCATAGTAGTCTTCAGCCCACCATCAATATTGACAGTCGTATTCAATGTAGACAAAATAAGTATGACCACATCTCTATCGCTTGAATGGTAAAACATAGAAAAAGACATTTGGTTTCTCATTATCTTTCAAAACTACTGACTACATGCGCTACTGTCTTCTTCTACAACACCGGGAATAAATATTACGTCCCCAAAAACTCATGCTGGAAATATCAATTAAGACGATATGTATCGAGTCTCAAATAGTAATGTTATTCTTATTTTGTTTTACCTCGTCTTATATTGTGTATGTTTACTTGTATTTTAATCACTACATAACAAATAGTTATGGATGTTTTGTTTTTTTAATAAATAAATTACAAAGATAGCTCAGTAACCTTACTCAATATTTCAAGAGCGTCATCTACAACTGAATAGTTTCAAATATACCATACTAACTATACTGAATGCCTTAAGAGCGTCAACTACAGCTGAGTAGTTTCAAATATACCACACTAACCGTACTCACTACTTTCAAATATGTCTCATTGAGCACAATCAATGATAAAATCGTCATTTTCTACTGGTCAAATTTTAAATGGTTTGTGAGCATATGCGATAAATGGCGTATACATAATGCTGAACTGCGAAGTTCAAATGAATCTCGTCTTCAGTGATCTAAACGCCGTATACCATAATGCCTCTGTATTTTAGTTATCCCATACAACGTACCATAGCAGCTGTCTCGGATATATACTATATACAATAGTAGTCTTTTAAATCTACGATTTATATTCACATTTTATATAAATTAATTTTCAATATTGTTTTGCGTGATTGTAATTTGATATTACATTTTTTTCTCTCATAATTTTATTTAATTTGTGTTAATGATACGTACTATGAGCCTTACAATTCACTGATTATAATGAAGTGTATTTGTAATTAACTTCCGAGAAGGCATGCTGTACTATAATAATTCATCTCGCTTTTACTTGTATTTATTTAAAATGTCATACATAGGATAATACATATATAGTTGTGTGCAGCTATTCATGTAATCTATCATAATATATATAAGATATACAAGTTTATAAATAACACAAATGTATGTACTATGAGGTTATTGCGAGGAGGATACCTCAAAGTATACACAAAGACACTACAGCGGTATCCACCGACGCGCAGCGGAGGCGTACTGTCTGAGTGCATACTTTGAGGTATCCTCGTATTAACCTTATTATTATACATCTTTTTCTTTCAAGGATACATCATGGGAATGCCGAAATCCGAACATTTTGGAACAGAATCAGCGAACTTCTTTGTGTGGAGTCCGGTCAAACCCTGGTGGCAGCCATGTTTATTGTTTATTATTAGAGGACGCTCACGCGCGTAGTCATTCCATATTTGGAATTCATAATTTCTAATATGGTTTGATGAAAATACCCCGTAAAATACCTCAAAATTACGGCACGCCGTAACTTATGGCGTTACGGTGACAGATGTATAAACTATACACTATGTATACACTTTATTACTATGCAATGAAAACAATGTATCGATATGTATTACGCAGTGTGTGTGTCGTTATGTACATTGTGACAACAGCACTATTTTTCCGTCTCACCAGGCTCATCACCGGTAGGCCTCGGACAATATTGTCGCCTACTTAAAATGCCGTTGATGTGTGGCAATATTTGAAATATATATATATAACATTTGTTCTGATAAATAGCAATTGAATTGGAGCGATGTCACTGTTATATTTAACTCTACTTTATCCATGTAAACTCGGCACATACAACTGAAGCACGTGATAAGACAAACTACGTGCTGCGATTCAGTACAACGTTCACATATCGTGTTACTGTAACTGTTTACTCTACACACTATATATGTCATGGCATGACTGAGTAACTCGGACGTTATCGAGCATTCCATTTTTACTACATGTGAGTTATGTATGGGTATGACATGTCTTATTTTTACTGAGTATTGCATGAATATTGAAATGTCTCGTTAAGCTAAATGTAATGTTCAATTTAGATTGACACGATTGACCTTTGTAAGCATAAACAGACGTGAGTATATTTATTGTGTCTGGGAATGATTTATGTACAAGGTCTAAAACGTGCAAGTATGTACTCATTCTAACTGTTTGATTAATACATAGCTGTGTACAGACTTTACAGATTTGTTGGCTCGGCAACGATTATTTCAGCGATGCGGATGGGGGGGGGGGTCTATATTATAGATCATTCTGTAGGATTGGCCGAATGTTTCGACCAATGTTGTCTGGGTGAAATTTTCATTTGTTCCAGTTGTAGTCCTTCAGACAAACTACATGCTGTGTGGTTACTACCCAAATATATTTCTCAATTATGATTATGATAGTAATTATTTAATCACAAAAGCATGTGCGTGAAACCAATATTGCATGTGCATGTAGGCATCCGGTATGAAGAAACATCGAGTATTGGTATGCCATGTCATGCTAGTGTAAATGAAAGATTAAGTAAAATAAATGTGCCTCCTCTTAATTAATATGACATAAACATGTAGATAGTTACCTCACGTGGGCCTCTCTCAGACTTGTTTTGTTTGTGGTGATATCTTCAATTCTGTAATCTGATGAATACTTTTGTTATTTTTGGTAAAAAGTGATTTTTTCGACTTTTTCTTGAAATTGGGATTCAATTCCCGCGCGTGCGCAGGTGACGACCCTCCTGCTTCAATATTAATGAGCTAGTTCAACATCATCCCTTTATTTTGAATAAGTGGGTGGTCGCAGTTGCACTTGAAAGTTTGCGCGTTCGTTATTGGCGTAGACATTGTGGAGCTCTCAAGCCAGTTACTATTAAATATTTGGATTTGAATAAAAGCTGATTATCGGTATTTACAAACTGTTAATGTTCAATTCAAGGAATAAAACGAAAAATAAATTTCACAAAAAATATACAGTGTATAGCCAACGTTATTCGTCATCTTTGCGCGTGTGTGTCATTTGGCAGTTATTCAGAAAAATGTGCATACCCGTTTATATTTTGATAGTCATTGTAATTGCGACGTTTTGAAATTACGACATAATCTGCCACGTTAATGTTCTTTAAAGTTATGTTGACATGTCGTTGGGAGTTCCCTTGCCCCGTATATTTTGATATCTTTGATCTGATCATAGGCGGCAGCGTTCAGTGTGTTTACATTCGTTCCGACGCATTTCAATACAAAACATATTTAAATATTGTTCCTCAATTATGTGCAAGTATAATTCCAGATGTTTTTCCTCATACAAACTTGGTACTTCCATGATATTCGTGTGAGTATGTCGATGTCGCCTATAGTTTGAAAGTTCTCGCTGAGAACGATAGTAATGGAGGCTGAGAAAATCATGGTGTTTTGATTCCCCTAAAAATCACCATCTAATAGACAGCAGCCTCAGATGTCTACCATAATGAACAGCATGAGTGCCACCAGTACGAGCAGCCATGTACCTCCGGAGACTGTGTCGTTCGCAAGTCACCGGCAGTATCGTTAGCTTCAACACCCCGGTGGCTCTGGTGAAATTCTCCACTGCTCCCCCGTCAAA